CTGTCTCTTTCCAGAGAGAGCACATGCCCTCTAGAAAAAATTTTTATAAGTAAAAAAAGGGGAGACTGGCAGGTAACATGGTGCTTAAGGGCACTGGACTCTCACATGGCTGACCATGGTTTGAGTCCCGGACCTGGTGACTTGCTTTCTCACTACTCTCCTCACTCTGTCCCTCTCTGGTCAAATTAAATACATAAATTAAGTACAATACAATATTTTTTTTAAAGTAAAAGTTGGGGCCAGCAGGTGGCATGGTGGTTAAGGGCACTGGACTCCCACATGGCTGACCATGGGTTGAGTCCTGCGCTTTCTCACTCTCTCTCCCACTCTCTCTGTCCCTCTCTAGTCAAATTAAATAAATAAATTAAATTAAATAATTCTTTTTTTGGGGTGGCATGGTGGTTAAAGGCACTGGACTCCCACATGGGTGGCAGCTGTTCAAGCCCTGGATCTGGCAGCTTCTTTTTTCACTTTCCCTCTCTTTCTCTTTCTCACTCTGTCACTTTCTGGTCAAATTTAAATACATGAACAAATAAAGTTAAACAAAATAATTTTTTTAAAAAAGAGAATGCTAAACACAAAAGACTAAGATATGTGTGACTATCACAAAGAGGAAAATTGAAATAATGATATCTCACAGTGAGCAAAGGAGAGAAACAGAATAGCAAATACCAGATATTGACAACAATGCAGGAAGGGAAAGATGAGAAATAGAGGATAGCATTTGCTTGGGTATCATTCTAGCGTTTTCTTTGGGTCACAGTGTTTGTTATTAGCTCTACCACTGATTATAGTGGAGGGGATTTTGTGGGATAATTCAAGGGCAAGAAGGCAATTGGGGCCATAAAGGCTCATCTCCTCTGTGGTATCTTGTGAAAATGTGACATAATCAAATCTTCTTTTTTCATATTAACATAACATAAAGGAAGCTACATTGGGGCAGCAGATGGTGTGGAGGTTGGGCCACTGGACTCCACATGGCTGACCACGAGTTGAGTCTTAGACTGGTGGCTTTCCTTCTCTCTATTTTTGTCTCTGGTGAGTGCATATGCCCTATGGCAAATTAAACAAATAATAATAATTATAATAATAATAAATTTTAAAATTCTTACCAAAAAACAGAGAATGCTACATTTGATTATATAATATGGATTCAGCTGCAGCAACAACTTTTTGTGGTATCAGATATACACACACAGTTATGGACTGAGTGTCTGTCCCCAACCAACCAACTCAAATCCTAATCCCCAGTGTGATGGTATTAGAAGGTGGGGCCTTTGGGAGGTAATTAGGTCATGAGAGTGGAGCCCTGTCCATTAATCATGGAATTAATGCCTTTAGAAGCGGGACACAGAGAGCTAGCTAGCTTTCTCTCCACTGTGTGTGAATCCAAGGAAAATCTGACAGTCTGCAAGGGAAGAAAAGAGCTCTCATCAGAACCTGATTGTGCCAGCACCCCAATCACAGACTTCAAGCTTCCAAAAGTGTTACAAAAATTTTTTTCTGTTATTTATCAGTCATCTGGTCTATGGTATTTTGTTATAGCAGCTTGAATGAACTAAGACATAAACATACACACACACAAACCCTCCTCCCATGTATGAGTCTCAGAGTTGACTAATTATCACTCTGAGATTAAATTCTCAGAACACTGTCTAATTGTGCTTTAAATTTTTTATGATTACATTTAAAATATAATTATGTGATTGTTATAAAATATTCAAGCAACACAAATGAAATAGATGGAGTAAGTTATTTTTCGTATGTTTCTCTAAAGGGAACATCTTACCTCACTGCTACTGATGCTTCGCAAGATTATGTTTTGATTTTTGGTGACTGTCATCATATCAGTTGGGGAAGAGTTTGTATCATGAAAAATGTCAAGCAATGATTCAGCATGTCTTTCTGTCAAAAAAACATAATAATGTGTTTTGAAAAGAGTCACCTCTAGCAATTTCTTTGGAAGACTTAGCTCTGGGTTCTAAAATCAGCCCCATTTTGTTATAGATTTTCTTGAAATAGTGGTCAGAAATCCCAGTGAAGCTTCAGGCTATAATTTTCACAGAAAGAGATTTGAGAACAGAGTCCATAGAATGGGTGATTTAAAACAAAAAAAGGCTTTGGTGGTAACTGCTATTATTATTTTTAAAAAATTTCCTACAGAGTATGTGTGCTTGCTGGGGAGAAACAAAGAGACAGAGATAGAGAGAGAGAGAAAGTGAGAAATCATCCCCCGTGGGACATGGTTACCCCACAATCCCTTCTTCATTCTCTTCTTGGGATTTTAGGCACATACACACACATGTAGCTGGTGTGCTTTTCAAGGCACCAGGTCCAGGGCTTGTACTGCATAGATGGCTACGTGGGATCCAGTCACCTTAACCACTGTGCCATTGGTTGGCCAGGTAACTACCATTATTTAAGGAGAAAAATAATTTTGAACAAGTGAATTTTAAAAAAAAAGAATTATTTAATTTTATTATTATTCTTTAATTTGCTATAGGGCACATAAGCTCAACAGAGACACAGAGAGAGAGAGAGAGAGAAAAAGTGAGAAAGCAAACTGTCAGTCCAGGATTTGAATCGCAGTCAGCCATGTGGGTGTTTAGGACCTTAACCACCATACCACCTCCTGGCCCTGAAAGTGAATTTTTTTTAAAAGAATTATTTATTTTATTTTATTTATTCATTCATTTTATTATTATTTTTATTAGACCAGAGAGAGACAGAGAGAAAGAAAGAGAGAGAAAGTAAGAAAGCAAGCCACCAGGTCTGGGACTCAAGTCATGGTTGGCTACATGGGAGCATCCAGTGCCTTAACCACCACGCCACCTGCTGATCCTTGAAAGTGAAAAATTTTTAAAAGAATGTGAAATCAATTGACATCTGAGCAACTATCAGATCTTAATGTCTATGAAGAATTCAAAATTACTAAAGGTCAGATATTTGTTGAATACAAATCTGATCACCTCAAAAAGGCATAAGTCATATAGACTTAGTGTCCACATGTTTGTTTCAGTACCCTCTGTGGACTGCTGGGATAAGCAGGAGAACTTCTTAACTATTAAAACCATCAACTGGGGGCCAGTAGGTGGCATGGTGGTTAAGGTGCTGGACTCCCCCATGGCTGACCATGGCTCAAGTCCCCGACCCAGCAGCTTGAGAATCATGCTGGATGCTTGTGCATGCATGCCAAAAATCCCTGGAGGAGAGTGGAGGAGAAGGGACTGTAGCATGGCATTCCCCCCTGGAGGGGGTGATTTCTCACTTTCCCTCTCTCTGTCTCTTTCTCTGATGAGTACACACACTCTGTGGCAAAAATCTGAAGGAAAAAAAAACAAAAACAAAAACAACCAACATCAACAGATGGCTCAGGGCTAGGGAGCCTTCTGGAGAGGTCCACACAGAGAGGTAAGATGTTTGTCCTTTACGTTTCCCGAGGATAACACTTTATTATGGATTTCCAGCTGTAGAAGACGGGAGGAAAAAAACTTCACAGTCTCTTCCACCTATACCCTGAAACACTTCCATGCCTTGTCCAGGGGACTGAAGACCAAGCACTGCCTTGGTCAATCCTGGGTGTCCACATGGCCCCGGAATTTCTGCCATCATTTCAGGGTAGACATGATCTCAACACCATACGGCTATCTACTGACGTCAGAACCACACAGGGCCTTAGAGAACTCTCGGTCATCACGAATATTTAGATCTTTTTTGATAGTAAGTAGGAGAGAGATAAAATTAAATAGAGACCAACTGATATCACTTTAGACATTTGGGAACAACTGGTTTGTTTTAGGCAAAGCTGCTGAATGAAATCCCTGACGATGAACTGGAAATTACTTTTGCTCTCCAGCTGCTAAGGACAGAGGTGCCCAGTTCCTCTGAGCTCATCTCCCGTCTAGCACTTCAAGCCACAGTGTTCTCATACGTGTCCCTCTCCTATGATTCTGAGTTCTTCAAATAAGTAAGGGCTCTTTTCTACAAATACTTCCTCTTCCAACAGCTTTCCTTTTATCTTGTAGCTGAAACAAGATTGAAAAATGACCTATACTCCGACCTTCCATTTCTTCACCATAGTTTCCTTCTTTACATGATCTTGTCTCCATTCTGCCATTGAAACTTCTCACTTCCTTCCACATCCTCTTTCTAATCCACTTGACATTGTTTCCCGCTCTTTTCTTCTTGTAATTCTCTGCCTGTATTTCCTCTCCCTTTCTCACTTCCCCGAGTACCGATGTACACACCACTCTCTAACTGTGGGTGTACCTCTTTAGTTCAGTCCTCTATAGTATTTTCACTGTGATTAATCAGTGATCTCACCCACTGTGAGATCCTCACAAGCTTTCTGTAGAGAGCCTCTAAACTAGTTCATTTCCCTGCCCTCTCCTGTAAGAACAGTTCTATAGAAACCAGCTACTGGAAAGTCCCAAGCTTCCATCAGATTCAGTGTTTGTATTATCCTCTGGTCAATATCCTCACCAAACCAGAATTTCCTCCCATTTTGTTAGTTGTGTTCTCACTTCCCCATTTCCCAGACCATCCTTGACTCAACTCTCTCAACTTTTGTCTCTGTGTCTTCTCTATCAACTTTCTCTCTCAGTTCTGTGAATTGTTCTTCCATAAAATTTCTTAGACTCACTATACCCCTATCACTTAGGCCCACTACCACACCCTGTCAAAACAACTCTCATTTTGGTTTTTTATTTTTGTTTTAGAGAGATTTTTGCTATAAGGTGTGCATGTTCTCTAGAGAGACTGAGAGAGACAAACAGACAGAAAATGAAAAATCAGCCCCCAGGGGGATGTCCACACTGCAATTCTTTCTTCTCCATTCTCCTCTCAGGACTCTGAACATGCATGCATGCGTGCCCAGCATGAGTTTAAGTCACCGGGTCCGGGACTTGAACCATGATTAGCTATGTGGGAGTTCAGCAATGTAACCATTATGCCATCTACTGGTCCCCATTTTGGTTCTTATTGCCACACATGTGGGCACTTCTATACTTTCTTAATAGTCATCCCTGCGTTTTCCCTAAAATCCAAACTACACAATAAAAACAAGGTTAATTTTTCTAAAATATGACTTTTATCATTCTTGGCTTATATTCTCTAGTGACTATATTTTACTGGAAAAAAAAAAAGTCCTAAAGTCCTTCAGCCTGACATTTAAGCTTCCTCCCTCATGGATTGTTTCTTTATGTATCTGATCTTTTGTTTCTCTTTTCCCTGACATGAACTTTCAGTTCCAGTCCTCCCTTTGCCCCTGGGATAAGGCATATTCACTCACAGCATGGTACCTCTGCTCCACAAAAATCAAATCCCATTCTCTCTTCAAGGACCAGATCGAGTCTCACATCTTTTATGGAACTTTCTTAGGTATAGACTTGTCCCCTGCCCCAAAAGCTTCAAACAGAAAGTTAATCGAACAATAAAGCCATACAGCTCTCACAAAGTCACTCGCTGCTGAACAGCATGCTTTTCATAATCCCTTTGTGGCTATTTCTGTGTCTTTGCTCAAACTCTTTTCCTACCGCTATCAAACCTTCCATATCTTATTTAGCCTTCAAGAACCACTGTAAGTCCCACTTCCCCAAGTTTACAGCAAGATCGTTCTCCTTTGACTTATGTCAAGTGTGCCGATACTCTATACCTTCAGAAGTTTGGACCACGAGTTAGATTTCTTTGCATCCTTAGAGCACCTAGTTACCGGCCTTGTTCAGAGTCACTGCTCAGTGAATATTATTGGCTGGATTTATTTAATTAGGATCACCAAACAGAAATAGAAAAAGAAAGGCTCTGAACCAGCTCCACAGTGTGGTGATTATGTCAGTGAGATTCCACATGACCGTCCACACAGTGTGGCCCTGAGCTCAGTGACTTGAACACACTGGTGTATGTGCATGTCGGCTGAAAATCCTGACAGGGAAGAGAGATGGAGGAGAAGGGATTAGAGTATGACTATTCCCCGTGGGAGAGTGGGGGGTCTTTCTTCTCTCTCTCCCTCTGATGAACGCACACATTCTTTAACAAGTAAAAAAAAAAAAAAGATTCCAATGGGACTGTTTTAGCTAGGGAATTGTGTACATGGAATAGAAATATTTACCTGGTTTTGGCATAGAATTCATCAGAATGTCCAATAACTGTTGTTTCCTCAAACTCTCTATTTGTGACACATAATGTATCGCCGATTTTCCACTAAAATCACAGAGTTTAGTCTCTCTAGGAAGAATAGAGTTAATACCGAAGATTACTTTATTAAATCTGTTGAAAAAGAAAACTAATACAAGAAAAAAATTGGCATCAAATAACTAAACATAATATGTAGTTTGGGTATAATAATAATTTCAAAATATATGAAATAGGTGACAAATTGTCAAGACTTTAAATAAAATAAATATGCTCCATGTCCTATTCTCCTCTCTATTCTAAAAACATTCTAAACTGGGACCAGCAGTTAGCGTAATGGCTATGTCGCTGACTCCCATTAGTCGACCACAGTTCACGTCCCGGCCCCGTGGCTTAAAACTCACCGGGCACATGTGCGTGCGTGCCCAAGATCCCGAGAGGAGAATGAAGGAGAAGGGATTGCGGTGTGACCGCGGTGTGACCATCCCCCCTGGGGGGTGATTTCTCGCTTTCTATCTCTCTGTTTCTGTCTGTCTGTCTGGCGAGTGCACGTGCACTATAGCAAAAAGAAAAAAAAAACTCTCCAAAACATTCTAAACGTAGCAAGAAATCTCCAACTTTGGAGGAAAAATTTCATAATTCTTCAAGGGTACATGAATCAAGTAAAGATAAAAAAAAATCTGATAAAGTCTTGTCTTCCAAAAGACCTTAATTGTTTTTGTTTTTGTTTACAATGATTTAGCTAACTACTGACTTTCTATTTTTTGGAGGGGGGGACATTTTTGCTTGTGCATCCACTCACCAGAAAGACAGAGAGAGAGACAGAGAGACAAAAAGTGAGAAATCACCCCCAGGGGAGATGGCCACTCTGTAATCCCTTCTCCTCTATATTCCTCTCAGGATCTTGGACATGCACACACACACACACACACCAGGCGTGAGTTTAAGCCACTGGGTCCAGGACTCGAACTGTTGTCGACTACAAGAGAGTCCAGCCATGTAGCCATTACACCAACTGCTGGTCCCAACTGCTGACTTTCTTGATAATTCTTTTTTCTGATAATAAGAGCTAGTCTTGGGGCTGGCAGGTGGCGTAGTGGTTAAGGGCACTGGACTCCCACATGGCCGACTGCAGTTTGGATGCTGGACCTGGCAGCTTACTTTCTTACTTTCTCTTTCTCTCTCTCTCACTCTGTCCCTCTCTAGTCAAATTGAAATAAGTAAATAAATGAATAAATAAATAAAGTTGGATAAAATAATAATTTAAAAAATACACAAAAAAGGTAAAAAAATCTACTTAAAGTAGTTTTATCATGGACAATAAAAAGGTAAATGAGGAACTCAAATAGTGGATGAGCAATTGAATATGCTTTACTTCTGTAGAAAACAAAATAAAGAAAATGACTGACAGATGTGAGTACACTAAAAACTCATCTACATGTCAAAGAATATCGATTCGTGAGCATTTTTACACATGATGGGACATAGCCATTATGCTAACTGCTGGTCCCAATAAAATAATTCTTTAAAAAAAGAGCTAGTCTTTTATTACTGAAGATAATGAAAGGCATGGAATTTCCTTGAAAATTCAGCTGACATGCTTATTTCATAGGCCCTTGGATGAGTGGCTTGATACTGTCATAAAATCCACGCGATCTTTTCATTCCTCTTTGTCTTGTCCTTTCCAACTGATCTTACTGCTCTTTGCAACAGCACGAGTATCTCCTCTATGCTATACTGAATCCTTGCAGGAGATACTGGCTGAGAGAGCCAAAGAGTAAATACTGAGTATTCTCTAAGGTTATAGTCAGGGAAGCAATGATAAAACTTGCTTCACTTGTCACATTCTGGGACAATGAGCGAGTTGTTCAAGGCCTCCAACCTCCAACCGTTGAATTTGAGTATCTTCATTGCTGCCAAAAGGGGTAATATAATATGAGCCACAATAATACTCTCGTGGTTATTTTTCCATCAGAGGTCATAATTCAAAATAAATAGTTTGTGATTAAGAATCAGGGGCTGCCACCACTTTGAGGTGTGGCCTTAAGCAGGCCAGCACTCACAGACTTTGTTTTGCTCATCTGCTTAGACTAATGTTTCTACAAGTGGCATCCTTTGATATCCTGTATTCTTATTTTTTTTTAGTGGGGGAGGAGTTTTTGCTATAGGGCGCGTGCACTTGCCAGAAAGACAGAGAGAGACAGAGAGACAGAAAGCAAGAAATCACCCCCCAGGGGGGATGGCCACGCAGCAATCCCTTCTCCTCCATGCTCCTCTTGGGATCTTGGGCACGCACGCACACGCGCCCAGCGTGAGTTTTAAGTCACTAGGTCCAGGATTTGAACCAAGGTCAATTACATGGGAATCCAGTGACATAGTCATTGTGCCAGCTGCTGGTCCTGATATCCTATATTCTAAACCTCAGTTCAGAGCTATTGGACAACATCTCTAGGGTAGTGTCCAACAATCTCCATTTCTTACAATCACCCCATTTGTTTCACAACACTGAAGTCTGAGGTAGTGTCAAAATTCCATTTGCATTCCATTATACTAACTGATTCTGTTACAATAACACATGTTCTTGATTATAATTTTGCTCTTTTAACTCTCTTTTTTTTCCTAAAGTGAACTTCATGAGAAATACTTAGAAAGAGCTTAGGCCATCTGTTCTTATCTGATAACAAGATATCCAGGTGACTTCATGAAGAAGCTCAATTCCTACATGAGACACAGCTTACTAATCTTCTTTTTTAAAAAACAATTATTTATTTAATTTTATTTATTCATTCATTATTTTAATTTGACCAGAGACACACACACACACACACAGAAAGAGAGAGAGAGAGGGAAAGTGAGAAAGCAAGCCACCAGGTATGGGACTCTAACCATGGTTGGCCATATGGGAGTGTCCAACACCTTAACCAACATGCTGGTCCCCTTTTTCTCTTTAAAAATTTGCTAGGGGTTATGTAAGCTCAGAGAAAGAGAGACAGAGAGGGGCAAAGTGAGAAAGAACCCACCCCTGCCAAGGGGATGACCATGCCACCATCCCTATCCTCTATTCTCCTCTCAGGATTTCAGGCACACGCACACACATGCACACACACACACACACACATTCAGGCACACGCACACACATGCACACACACACACACACACACACACACACACACACACGCACACACACACACACACTGTATTTTTTCAGACACTGGGTCCAGGACACTGACCTCACAGTCAACCGTGTGGGGTCCAGGCCTTAACTACCATGCTACTGGCTGGCTCCTGATTTTTTTTTTTAAGTTCATTGTTTATTTCCCTGTCCTAAAAGAACATGTAGTGGCATATAGTAATTTTTAGGTAACTGGAAATCACTATTATAAATTGCTTTTCATAGGTGTGTCTTGAATAAATTAGTAATATTTTGGAGGTAGGGGGCTTCATACTCAAGAATTATTTGACATTCCCAGTACCAAAATAGCAATTATTTAAGCAAATAAAACAAAGTGGGCTATCATAAAAATAGCAAAATTTACTATCTGTGCATTACCTTACAAATGCAAAGTACCTTTTGTGATGATGTATGTACATTTCATATATGTGATCGAAAACAATCTCTATGTATATAGGTTTACATGTAATTTCTGTAACCAACAGTGGAGAGAATGCCTTTCAGCCGGTGCTGACCACTCATACTCACGCATGGTGTCTGAGGAGCTCAGACAGAACTTCCACAGGTCTGTAGACTGTTGACATATCGAGACTCTCAAACAGGTCCACATCTCTTACAGCCAGCATCAGAGGGGTCAAGCCATGTTGATTTGGGAAGTTTATATCCAGGAACTCTTCAGACGCCTTTAAAAACATGAAGCTTTATTCTGCTATGATTTTACTGTATGGCCATTTATACCAATCATTGCATTTACATTGCTTGACCAATTTCTTATTTTAACTTCATATATTCTTTCTCAATATCCTGTCCTGAAAGGGAGCTGACAGTGGAAGCACACAGGCCTGAGAGACAAATAGACCTGGCTTGAATCTTAGCTCCTAAAGTTGGTATTTAACTTGCCCGGTAGTGTTACATTAGAGCACTCTGTTAAAAAGCGTTCTAATAAAATAAGGAATGTCCCGGTAAATGATGATACGTTTAATTTGGGATATAGCTGGGTGTTCTGTATTTTTATTTGCAAAACTTGGCAACCTTACTTGCTGATCTTCAGAACCCTTAGCTATAAAGCTAGAATAATAGTGTCTTTTTTAACAGGTTTTATTCTTATTTATTTATTTTTTTGGTTAAAGATGAAATGTGAGAGGGTCTGGTATACAGTAGATGCTCAATAAACATTTGTCGAGTGAATAAATGATTTGTAATCATAAGGCAGCTCATTTAACTGTGCTTATACAGTCAAGTGGAGGTAGATGTACAGATGTCATTTGTTGTTAATGAAAAAAAAATCAGAACTGAAAGGCCAAAATATCCAAACCGTTCGTTTTATAGACAAGTAACTCACTACGTTCCACCTCTTTTCGCTCTGTGCCATGTCAGTCTAGTCGGTATCTCTACATCAGCTTCTCCAGGGACAAAACAGAGATAATGATATTACTTCAGCAGGGTGTTGTGGGAATTAATTAGTTAAATTTTTTTTTCAGTCTTTGTGAAGAAACTACCTCTGATATCAATGTTTATTATTAGTTAGAATCAACATGAAAGTTTTGAGCTGAGAGTAGTCTTGCAATAGCTGGTTAATTCAGTGCCTGTTGATTGAGTTCTGGATCCGGTGACAGGCACCAGTTTCTTAAAACTTGGCTGCTAATTTTCAGGAGTAAAATAAGTTGTTATATAAACACAGACACTGGATTACAACAACAACTATTGAAAACAACATTCAAATCAAATGTACTGTTTTTCAAAGAGTTCTAAGCCTCAGTTGCTACGAGGTGATTTTAGGCTATCATTTCCTTTGGTTTTGTTCTAGCTATCTTTGAGTTGAACGTG